AAGATTTTGGATATTTGAAGAACTAACTAAATGAATAATTTTTATTAATACGGAGGAGATGGATTGCTTAAGTTTAGACTTTGGAGTTAGAGATATTAATATTTGTGTACTTGTATTTGAATATTAGCCTAGGTTGGTTTGGGAAGTCCGGGGGGTGGGGGGATGGGATATAACATTGTGTAATATCTGTGATGTATTTTTTTTTTTTATGATAAAAACAATAAAAAAATTTATAGAAAAAAAAAAAAAAAAAAAAAGAGCATATTTGCCAGACTGCCTGCTCCTCTTTAGGGAGTGTTTTCATTCACTTCCTAGTTTAACTATTATACAGTGGTTCAAATAAATCTTAAAAGAATTCCTAACAGTATAATCAAATTTGGGTCTGGCAAGGATAAGCACAGCTTATTCTGCTTATTTTATCTAGTAATAAAAACCATAAAATAATCAGTCTATCATCTGAACTTAGAATGTTACAACATTATTATTATTATGTTGTAAGTTCAGATCAGGGGTCTTCAAACTTGGCCTTTATGACTTGTGGACTTCAATTCCCAGAATTCCTCAGCCAGGCATACTGGCTGAGGAATTCTGGAAGTTGAAGTCCACAAGTCATAAAAGGGCCAAGTTTAAAGACCTCTGGTCCAGATGATAAGACTGATAAACAATAATGACAGACTAATAAACAATAATAATTATAATGTTGTAATTGTAAGTTCAACGCATAGGGTTGAAAGGGACCTTGGAGGTCTTCTAATCCAACCCCCTGCCCATGGCAGGAGACCTTATACCATCCTGGACAAATGGATATTAAATCTTTTTTTAAAAGCCTCCAGCAATGGAGTACCCACAACTTTGGGAGACAAGCTGTTCCATTGATTAATTATCCTCACTGTCAAACATTTTTTCCCTTAGTTCCAAATCTTGGATCTCTAGCAAACTTCCAACCAATGCTTCTTGCCATGCCCTCTTTGGAGAATAAGTCAACCCCCTTTTCTCTGTGACTGCACCTCAAAGTATTGGAAGACAGCTATCATGTCATCCCTAATATTTCTCTTTGTTAAACCAGATATACCCTAGTCCCCTTCATTGTATGGTTTAGCCTCCAGACCCTTTATCATCTTTGTTGATATTCTCTGCACTCTATTCAGCATTTTTTTTCTATTTTGGCGACCAAAACTGGACACAATATTCTACGTGTGGCTTCACTAGTGCAATATAAAGTGGTACTATCACTTTTTGTGATCTTCATGCTATCCCTCTGTTGATACAGCCTAGGACTGCTTTGGCTTTTTGGGCAGCTACAGCACACTGCACTTAACCTGGAAAAATCAAATGTACAACTATAGAATAGGCAGTCGCAATAGCAATAGCGCTTAAACTTATATACAGCTTCATAGTGCTTTACAGCCCTCTCTAAGCGGTTTACAGAATCAGTGTGTTGTCCCCCAACAATCTGGGTCCTCATTTTACCGACCTCGGAAGGATGGAAGGCTGAGTCAACCTTGAGCTGGTGAGAATCAAACTGCCAAATTGCTGACAGCCAACAGTCAGCAGAAGTAGCTTGCAATACTACATTCTAACCACTGTGTCACCAGCTGACTCAACAGTAGTAACTGTGAAAGGGATCTAGGTGTCCCAGGAGATCACCACTTAATTGTGAGCCAGTAGTGTGCTACAGCTGTAATTAGATATTTAAAAACATCACTATCCCATACATTTTATTAAATTTCGGCAGTAGGACTTCAAATTCTACTCTATGGCATCCTAAGAAGAACAGTATTTAACACCCTTAAGGCAGCAGTTCCCAAACTTTCCGGCTCTGGGACTGGCAACAGTGAACTTGGGGAGAGGGGATGGTTTCGCGTGCCTGAATGTAGCTTCGTGCGCTTGCTCGCCTGCTGCTTGTGCGGCCCAATTCCCAACAGGTTGTGGACCAGTACCGGGCTGCAGACTGGGCGTTGGGGATCCCTGCCTTAAAGTATTTAATGAAATGTCATTTTCATTCCTTTCGGATGGCCAAAAAAGCCAAAAAAACAAAAAAAAACCTCTGTCAATAAAATAAAAACATTATCTACAGGTTTCTGTAACTCTGATCATTATTTTTAAAACTCTCCCACTACTTACCATCCTCTGGAGGTAGAATGTCTGAGCTCTTTTTCAAATCCTCCAAATTAAAGGAATTTTTTTTTAAGATTGTCATAATTTTTTCCCCTGGGCTCACAGCAACTGAACTATTAAAGGAAACACAACACCAAAATACATTATTAAACGTATTGAACTGGCTATGTTTAGAATTACTTTTCCACAACTGATCCAATCATAATCTCACTAGTAGATAGAACTGCTCTTCATACCCTACAGGTAGTCCTCACTTAATGATTGTTCAAAGTTACGACGGACTTAAAAAAAGCTAATGACCTGTCCTTGAAGTTAGATTGCTGCCACTCCCCCCACCCCCAGTCACATGATTGCATTTTAGGCACCTGGCAACTGGCTCACATTGATAAACATGTATATTTTCCAGTAGAAAATGGCCAATGGATTTGCATACACTTGGTTTGTTTAACAACTATCTGATTTGCTTAACAACTGCAGTGACTTGCTTTATGGTTATCGTAAAAATGGTTGTAAAATTGAGTCCAGTCATGTGGTACCTCAACATAATGACTGCAATGACTTATGACCAAAATTCTGGGCTCCATTTTGGTTACAGGGCAAGGACCACCTATAAACAAGCTTTTCATAAAGGAAATGGTTAAATATTTGGTTGTGATTCCATATTATTTGGAACGTGTGGTTTGCCTGCCTCTCATTTAACATCATTTTCAAGCCCAGCTATAAATAATTTGCTATAAAATTTGTTATAGTTTACAATATTATAATTTGGGTTATAACATTATAATTAGTTATTGAAAACAAAAAAAAATAGCTTAGGGATTTTTTTCCCTTTTAATGACTTTGCTTTGGGCGGGGGGGGGGGGCGTGCGATTGGAGCTGAGCATTTACTGGCCCGATGCCCTTCCTAATGTCTATGTGAAATTCGCAAGTAATTACTCATTGCGCACCCAGAGAGAGAAATATCCGTTGCTACTGAGAATCGAACTCTCAGCCTCCTGATTGTAAGGTGAGAGCTCCACCTCTAGGCCACCACACAGCTCAAGAATAACTTAGGTATTCCTAAGACTGACTGATGGAAATCGTTGTGAGTGGATGTTCAGAATAGGAGTTTGAAAACATAGATGGTAGTGCTGTTTTGTATAAATCTGATTAATAAAGTTAGATAGCAGGTTTAGGATTTTATAGCTATAGAAGTATTATTTTTACTATGATTGTAATTGTATCATGATGTTATTTTATGGCCTCTGTATAAATATAAATATGTCACAGAGAGGAGGGGGGACAACTATTTTCCAAAGTACCCGAAGGCCAGACAAGGAACAATGGATGGAAACTGATCAAGGAGAGATTCAACCTAGAAATAATGTTCCATTGGTTGGGAACAATCAACCAATGGAACATCTTGCCTTCAGAAGTTGTGGGTGCTCCATCACTGGAGGTTTTTAAGAAGAGACTGGACAGCCATTTGAGTGAAATGGTATAGGGACTCCTGCTTGAGCAGGGGGTTGGACTAGATGACTTCCAGGGTCCTTCCAACTCTGTTATTTTATATTCTGTATATTGTGTTTACTTTTGACTGGGGCTGGACATTGCCCCACTTGAGTGTTATCTAGGAAAAGGTTCTTTCCAAACCACATTTTTAATATTTTCAGAATTTATAAATTATAACAGATAAAGATAACAAATTATAACAATGCTTTAATACATTAACACTTTAATCATTTTAATTCTATATCTTTTCAAATATAGTATTAGATTTGAAATGATTAAACTCCACTGAGTTTCATATGGCTTTCTCTCGGGCAGTTCCAAAAACACCTGTGGTCTGCATCCGAGTCAGACTCAAAAGGTCAGTGGTTTCTTACAGTATTTCCATCGATT